TGAATTTCGGGGCATGTACAATTAGAACTTCCTTGACATCAATTGCAATGTCAGCTGTGGGAGTGTTCTCTAACTGGTTGGGGGAATAGGGAGCTTACTCCCCAGCACCACTGCCTTTCACTCTCTACTTCATGCCTGGTAGGATCAATATAAACAGGATTCCTTTTTACCATACAATAAAAAAAATACATAGCTCTAAGGTCTTATTCAGACTTTGTAGGAAGTTTGTTACGAAGAAATACACCATTCTGCAGGCATGTACAGAATTGAAGTTTCCACTACCAAATTGGGCAAGAAAGAGAGGGAAAGAAACAATGGTGCACACAGAACAGAGAATGGGAAAGCTAGGAGGAAGGGAGAGGATGTGTCATTCAGAAGCTTAACTAAAAAAAAACAACCCAGTTATATTCAAGGGAAAGGAAAACAAGTATAGACCCTTGAATGAGTTATTCCAGATGCATGGAGGGTGTCATTCCTACTCACAGCACTCTGAGGCACACACCCATCGGGATGGGCTCTCTGAAGCTGCCCAAGTCAACTTTGCAATTTTATTTTAGTTTTTCGATTCAGGGAGTTTTTTGTCCAAAAAGTATTCCCCCCCCCATGTGCTTTCTTTTGTTCTAGTGGTGAATAATTGCTGTGACACACAACAGTGGTTCCCAAAGACGCCGCACCAAGCTCTCAGCCGCCCTCACCTAACAGTCCCAACAGTCTTCAGAGAGAGTAGGGGAGTCCACAAACAACGGGGGCCCCAAGATTGGGAGTCCCTGATAGGCAGCATGAAAAGGACCCCAGTTAAGAAACTAGAAAATCTCCGAAGTCTGTGGGATGTATTATTTGGAAAAGAATCTTCAAAATGGAGCAAGGGAGAATTCACTTTTCTTTCCTACCTTTTATGGATATTTTGATAATTCGTGTGACAATTAAATATTTCATAAAGGTGTCCCTAGGCAAAAATTGGACAAATTCATCAAAAGTATATGAAGAGTTGAAAGCTTTCAGTGTGTTTTCTGCTCATTTGGAAACAAGGTTACAGAAACTACCATAAGATGGGTTGTGTGGATGATGGATGTAGGCCATGTGGTAAAGGCAGAAGAATGTGCAGTGTTGCTCAAGTAGGTGCCGAGTGCTGTACTTTCCCAGGTGTCATAGCTAGTGCACAGTTGGTTTTAACATTTCTTCTCTGGCAAAAATAACCTAGCAAGAGCATTCATAAACACTGAAACATTCCTGTTCCAAAACACTGGGATTGGGTGGTCCTGATAAAATCAGGTGCTGTAATCAAAAGGGTCTGGTGCCCTTCTTTTCTGTTCCCCACCTGCTCTGCCTTGAGGTTTCCTTACAGGAAGTGCTTTCTGATTAACATGTCAGTTTTGGGGCACTGTCTGGTTCCCCCAGTCCCTCTGAATTTAAACTGCTAACAGAGCCTGGATTTGTAATCGATCAGCTTTGTCTTCAACGTAGACACCTCCCTGATCTCTCTGCCTCAAGTTCGGATTTATCACTATACGGTTGCAGGCAAGAGGCAACACAGAGAAAATCAAACTTCGTAATTCACCCGCATCATGTTACTGAAATTTATTTCCCTGTTGTGATATGTTGTTTGCAGACGTAAGGGGGTGGGGGAAGCACAGGCACCCATCCAGTGGACATGTGCCCTGCATTTCCCTAGCTGGCCGGTTGTCAGAAGATAGTTTTCTATTTGAAAGCATCCTCTATTTGCAAGACTCTCTGATCCGAGCCTAGATTGACCCTAGATTAAAAAAAGGATAGCAGGGGCCTTGAAGTTCCCTGTCAACAGTGACCATCTGGACGGCAGATTGAGCAGGCAGACAGGTCATCACATCCCAGCCTCCCTTGCTACTATGAGATTTATTGCATTTCTATTTAAGTTATAACAATTATTTCTAAATTCACATGTCTACATAAATATTAGCATGAACAATTTTATGCCAATCTGAATGTCTCCCCCCCCCGAAATTTTTACGGTACTCTTTTTTGAGAGTCAGATGTAGCCCTCTCTTCCTCCTCCTCCTCCTCCTCCTCCTCTTGTTTGATAATGCATAAGAGGTGCTCCTGTCATTCTGTCCCTCTGTCCATCCACCCTGCTCCATTCTCGCTTTGGACTGACTGCATGTCTCCGTTTATTCAAATTGCTATACATTCATTACTTGTGTTTCTTTCATTGTATGTTGCATATCTTGCGAGTACGATCAGTGGCACAACCAAACTTATGAATAAGGACTCTCCCTTGGGTACAGATCTGACCTGGAGGAAATCCATACAGCCACGTTCTAGCAGCCCTTGTGGCACCTGGTGTGATACATATAGTTTGCATTTGGTCTCTCTTGTATATCACAGCCTTAATGGGATCCCGTTCCATCAAAGCTGCCTTTCAGAAATTGGGGATTTTTTTTTACCTATTGATCAACCTTATGGACTAGATTTTCCATAGAAGTTGAAACACAAATTCCCTGTGCTGGTGGATTCCCTCCTGGGGATCTCCAACTGATATTGCTGCCACAGAGCTGATCAGTGAAGTTAGAGGAGTGAGCAGATAGTGGGGCATGGTATCCTGTGTCTGCTTGTTGTGTTGTGCTTGCATAGCAGTGGTAATGGGAGAGAACATTTCGCACAGGGCTTTCATTTTAGATGCACTGCAATGCTTTGATCAATGTTATCGATGAGCATCCTCTTCTGATTAAACAGGGACATGAAAATCTTTATGCCTTTACACTTGTTGTTTCTGCCACTAAGTAATGCTTCCCTAGACAATGTATGTTTTGCTGGTGTTGAAGATATTATTTTAGCAATTGAAATGTGTTGAGCTATTAGGTCTGTGCCGTTTTCTTCTAACACACACAAGGAGGAGAAATGGGAGCAAGTGCACTAGTTTCACTCCCTTTTTCTTCATTCCCCTTCTCTCCTTTATATGGAGAACAGTTGTCTTCAGAAAAGGGTCTCTGCTATCCGTTGATAGCAGATCTAGGGTGCTCAGCCCCAGGCCACCTCATATATAGCGCCTACATGTAAGAAGAATTATGAAACAGGGCAGCAGTTGTTAAAATATGAACCTAATAAACTGAAAAAGCCAGAATTTGGTATCATTTAAATTTCCATGTAAACAGGTATGCCACAATCCTGCTGGATCCTTTGAAACGAAAGATTTAGTGTCCCTGTAGTGTTTTTATCTACCTTTACTATGGATCTTAATGCAGAAGCATATCTGTCTGTCTTCAGTGGTGCTTACTGCCAGGAAAATGTGTATAGAATTGTAGTCTTATGAAGATTGTAGTATTCTAAACCCCAGTGTGGTGTAGTGGACAGAGTGGTGGGCTGGGACCCAAGAGACCTGGGCTCAAATCCTTACTTGACTATGGAAATTCACAGGGAAGGGGCTGGCACTGGTAAAATCACTCTTTAAATATATCAATTACTTTGACAACTCTTTTAGGATAAGTACGGTATGAGACAGCTGTGTCTTGATGGCACATAACACACACATACAGTGGGGTCTCTACTTAAGAACGTCTCTACTTAAGAACAATCGTGTCCCTGTAGTGTTTTTATCTACCTTTACTATGCATCTTAATGCAGAAGCATATCTGTCTGTCTTCAGTGGTGCTTACTGCCAGGAAAATGTGTATAGAATTGTAGTCTTATGAAGATTGTAGTATTCTAAACCCCAGTGTGGTGTAGTGGACAGAGTGGTGGGCTGGGACCCAAGAGACCTGGGCTCAAATCCTTACTTGACTATGGAAATTCACAGGGAAGGGCCTGGCACTGGTAAAATCACTCTTTAAATATATCAATGACTTTGACAACTCTTTTAGGATACCGTATTTTTCGCTCCATAAGACGCACCTTTCCATAAGACGCACCAATTTTTTAGGAGAAGAAAACAGGAAAATATAATCTGTTTTCTTCGCTCCATAAGACGCACAGACTTTCCACACCCCTGTTTTGTGGGGAAAAAGTGAGTCTTATGGTGCAAAAAATACAGTAAGTACGGTATGAGTCAGCTGTGTCTTGATGGCATATAACACACACATATGAGTTTTCAAAAAGTGTAAGAAATGTCATGCGAGTATCTGTATTGCTTTGTTGTACACTTAATCACCCCATAAAAAGCATTAATGGTTCCTTTTTAGTATTAAGATATGCCAAAGTGCAGATTTCAACTCTAGTTTGAGTTTGAACATACTTGCAGGAAGAAAGCCATCCTTTACTTGAATGCAGTTGGCTTTGGTATCTGCAGGAGATAAAGGAAACAGGGACAACACCAATCTCTTTGGGGTTGTCTGCAGTGGGAACTTCTGTGCTTACAATGCAGTGAGTCAATTTGCGTTTTGTGGCATGTATTCATGCTCTGGAAATCTTCACTCTCATCTCTGATCTTCTAATGGCAGTACTTAGCAGTTATATGGCAATTTCAAGCACGTAAAACACTCCATATGCACTCCATATGCATTATCAGTACAATCTTTATCCTGTTTCTGTAAAATAGGCCAATACAATTGACCCCCATTGGGAACAGAAGTTCAGAAGGTAGCCTAAGTCTGCCTGAAGAGGGAAAACAAATATTTGGTTTTCAAAGGATCCAGCAGGATTATGTCTTACTTGTTTACATAGGGATTTAAATGATAGCAAATTCTCTCTTTTTCAATGTATGAGGCTCAAATTTTAACAACTGTTGCTCTGTTCCATCATTGTTCTAACATGTAGGCGTTATACATGAAGAGGCCTGGGGCTAAGCCTCCTAGATCTGCTATCATTTTCAATAATCAGTATACACAGAGGACGATTATCTTCAGAGGAGAACTGCCTCTATGTACAGAAGTTCTGCCCGTGGTTTCCACCAATCTAGAAATCCATGATTCTAAAAACCTTGGGGAAAATCAACAATTACAGGATCACAGCCTGTGTTCCTTCCCATTCCACTGCAGTGCAACAGATGTTGTTCCATCATTATATGAGCTGCTTCCCTCTTCTTTTAACAGGACAATGCAGACAAATATTTCCACCTCACCTTGGCACATCCCATATCATTCATGGCAACGGCACCGCCGTCGGCACAGTAATAACGTTTCGATGTTCTGCAGAACACCAGTTGCTTGGACAAGGAGTCATCACGTGCATTTGGAAGGGCTACGGTGCTCAGTGGACAGGAGACATCCCTGCATGTAAGCGTAGGTATCCCTTGACAAACTGAGTAGTTCTTCACTGTACTTTTCCTGAAATATAGACAAAGAACAGGGAGCCATAATTGGATGATCCATTATTCTAGGAAACCTGGTGGTGAGGGATGCAAGAATAGCTTTGGGGCATAATTATTCCAACATGTCTCTAGTCATATTCTGACATCATTGGTTGCCACCAAATAAATGCTTTTGGGCAGAAATGCTGGGCAGAAATTGTAACTCTATAATATGTTCTGTATATTTTCATGCAGGGCTGCAGATCAGAGAAATAAGTCAGTTTCTTTTGTATCCTGTACCTGTGAATTGCTCCCTTATTTATTAAATGCAAGGCTGGGGAATGTGAGGCCCTCCGGATGTAGGCTATGACTCCCATCATTTCTAGCCACCTTAGCCTAGAGTGAGGGATCAAAGGGATTCTGTCCATGTGTATCTGAAGAGCTACAGCAATGGTTTTGGCTTGAGTTGAATCACTGATCCTGACTACAGTAAATCCACCAAAACAACTGCTGAATGGCTAGTGTGTATTTACATAAAACTTATTGATTCAGTGTGTAGACTCTAGCTGGAACAAGCAGTTGGATTTGGGCCATGATGTTAAGATTTTGGAAAAAAAATGCTCATCTCTTAAGGACATGGAGAGTTTGTTAAAATGCAGTTAGGATGTCACCCATGGATAGCAAAGAAAAGCAGCTATCATATTGACAAATAGGACTTGAGTGGCAATAATATCAGCTCCTTTTCACTCTGTGCCTTTTCTGATTTATTGCACCAATGATAATAACTGAACTGGAGGAGAACGCTTAAAGGCTTTGGATTTCAGCATGTGACATATTGATAATACCATAAATCTCTAAAGCCTTTGAAGTAGATCCTCATCTAATTTTAAAATGACTAAAGAATGAGCAGCTTCCCCATTCCATTCGGGTTTGTTTGGTTGTATGAACCACTGAGGTGTGCACAGGTTAAGGTGCAACAGACACTCTAGAGAATTCATGACCATCTGAATAGTAGAAGAAATACTTCACATGGTGACATGAGGCAAAGCCTTCTTTGTAGCAGTACTCCAACTTTGGAATGAAACATCATGAAGGTTATGTTTTATTAAGAGGTATCTTAATAAAACATTACCTACATAATCCAGTTCAGTGTCAAGGTCTTGGCACCCAGTTATTGAAATACTTCAAAAGAGATCACAATCTCTTCTGTTTCGCCTTTTCATTTCACCCACTCTAGCTGCTCATTCCCTAAAAGAAGAATGTGGGGGGAAAAAGCCTTCCTTTTTTTGGAGGATGATAACTCTTCAGAATCTCTAAGACTCCCTGGCCAGTGGCCATGCTAGCCGGTGTGTTTATGCAGTAACCATTTCTCACCCACAGTGATACAAGCTGGGGAATTTTAAGCCCTGGGCTTATGGATCCTCTCATGGTCCTCCTTGTTCTACTCCCACAGAAATAAGGAGGCAGTCAAGCACTGAACAGTGCAAAGTACATCCTGGGTAGTCTGTCATTCTATTTATACTAGAAGTTAATTTGGAGCATTTTTGGTGTGTGGTGGGGAGGTCTCTTAAACAAAACAGATCCTCAGGGAGGCCCTGCGTTTCTGTCTCCACCTGTGTCATGATGATTGCTGCTGCCCATTCGTTTGCCTCTCCTTCTTTGGACCAGAGCTTGGCCATTTGCTGGCTCGGACTATAGAATCCCCCAACCCGTGGCCAACCTACAATTCCTAGAACCCGTGACTTGGACTACAGCTCCCAGAATCCTCCACCCCATGGCCAAACTAGCTGGTGGGTTCTAGGAATTGTAGTCTAAACATTTCCAGGCTCTGTCTCTCTGGATCTAATCTGCACCAAATCCTAGAGAGAAAACACAAGGTCATATAGAGGTGTTGTCTTCCCCCTCCCTTCCTCCCTTTTCTTCTTGTTTATTTATTTATTGCATTTGTACCCTGCCCATCTAGTGAGCTGACTATTTTGGGCAGCTTCCAACACATATAATAACAATATAAAAATATAACACTTGTTCACTTTATTTTTATTTAAGTATCTAGTTATCTTGCTCAGAGAAGTTGGGCAACAAGCAACTCCAGCAGGGAGGGGAGTCGTGGTGCGTTAAGACTGGCAGCGGACCATCTGTGGAAACATATAATAATAAGCATGTGCCATTCCAACTTACGGCAACCCTTTTTTTTTAAAGAGTTTCTCGGGGACAGAATACTTAGAAGGGGTTCACCATTCCCTTCCTCCTGGGGGGGCACCCTGGGGCTGTGCAGCTTGTCCAAGGCCACACAGGCTGGCTCTTCTCCTAGGAGGCACAGTGGGGAATCGAACTCCCACCCTGTACCTAAACCACTCAGCTATCCAGTCAGCTCTATAGAAACATGGGGCTTAGCCAATTCCGAGGCCATGCCAACCCCTGACATCAGTTCTGTACCACAGGTTTGTCATGTGTTGAGAGGGTCCCTGCCCCACTTTTCCCCCTGCAGCAGGTCTTGTGTGTTGCTGTGTCACTTGCCACTTTCGGAGGACTGCATCGCTCCCTTAGAAACAGAGCACTTCGCAGTTGTCTCGTCTAAGATGTTCCCAGGTTGAAATTAAGCCAAACCTCTTTGACTGCCGATGCTTTAACTCAAAGGAGGGATTTATTAGCAGGAGAGTGACAAAGACATATAACAATGCAGATGCCAATTTGTCTTTGCCTTATTCCAGCCATATCCAAATATGAAACCTTTGGATTTAAAGTGGCAGTGATTGCCTCCATTGTGAGCTGCGCCATTATTCTGCTGATGTCTATGGCTTTCTTGACCTGCTGTCTGATCAAATGTGTCAAGAAAAGTGAGAGAAGAAGAGCTCAAAGGTAGGTCCATTTTCAAAAGCCATGCAAACGGGACGTTTTATGGTGATAAGGCAGGTCTTAATATAAGGGAGAGGAGGCGCATTGTCTCCAACTCATGAAGGCAATACTCCACCTTTGTGGTTCTCCATTTTTTGAAATGAACTCTTTGGCATCCTATCTCGAGATGTGATGCCCATCTTAGTATCATTTCAATACCAGGATAAGTATCCTGTAATCAATTCACCTGGACCTTACAACAGATTGTAACTCTGCTGTAGATTGATTTGGCTTTGTTATCAGATTACCAACAAATGTGCACATGGTGTCTTGTCCTCCCCTTGTTATTGCTTGAGGATTTATAGTGCAATACAAATGGAAAGATACTCTGGAAGGAGTGAGTTTGGAATGGGCAGGGCCCCCTTGTGCTAGCAGAACCACCATTGGGCTGTCTCAGATCTGATGGCCCAGCTAGATCACCCTGTGCAGCTGCTCTATGGGCTGAGATCAGCCAGAAGAAGAGCCATTAAAAGGAGCAGACAAGAGGAAGAAGAACAGGGGAGGAGCTGAGTTATGGCTGCCCTCCGTTCCTTAGCACAGAGTCATGGCTGCACAAAGCTAAGCCAGGGTTAGGTTAGTCTTCAGTAATTTTTAACATCCCTAGGCTGGAAGGGGTTTCAATTCAGCACAGCCTTAGCTGGCTTAAGGGTCAATTCAGCCAACCCTCAGCCATCTTGACTAGTGAGGATTTCACCTTTAATGTTGTTGTTTGTACTGAAATAGTTTTAGGATACAAATTGATATTTTAAAAGTGAATAAAAGTATTTAAAATGTCCGCTATAACATGGAACATTGTTGCTTTGCCTCTACTTTGCTCTGTCTTTTGCTGTGTATTTATTTTCCATACGGTTGTGGACGTACTAGTTTCAAGAGTTCCCATTGTTCTCCATGCTTGCTATCTCTTTATTTGCCTTTGTGTGAGAGGATTCAAAGAAATACGTGGGAGCAGGCAGAGTCCTCATTCCATGATTTCCTGCTCAATATCCAAGTGATATCTATGTGTCTGTGTAGCTTCTCTCTCTGTGGAATTTTTGAAGGAGCAGTGTGACCTGCATTTGACTATTACTGGTAAAGGCTAATTTAGTATGATGGTACATACTATCCAGAACACAGCTGATCTCATTTCATTTCGGAAGCTAAGCAGGGTCAGACCAAGCTAATTTTTTGATGGGAGACCAACAGGGAACATAACGGATCGGCAAGGTAGGATTAGGATTAGGAATGAATCCTGCCTAAAAAACTGGAGAGCCACTGCCAATCAGAATTCTCAGTACTAAACTAGATAGACTAATGATCTGACCCAATATAAGGCAGCTGCCTATATGCCTGTGACCAAAATCCTATAGTGTTTTAACACAGGAATAACACAATTGATATAAATCTTGTTGGCGGATTCCTGCAAGTTTAAGAAGTTAGTGTAGGCATTTGATGTTGCATGTTGAGTTGTGTGACTTGGCACATGACATCAAATGCCTAAGCTAACTTTTAAACTTGCAAAAAGTTCCTGATGAGAGTTAAGCGATCAATATAATTAAAGCCATTAAAGTTTTCATGGCAGTACCGTTGTCACCAATAGTTCTAGACCAGTACTTCACAGTTGTTATTCCAGAATATCTGTTTCCACTGTGGTTCTTCTGTGACAGCCAGACTTCACAATTCAAGAACATGAAGTACCTATAGGAGAGGTTCCAATGACTTGTTGTCTTAGGGATACCTTAGGAGAACATCTTGTGGGTCACAAGACCTTTTTTTGTACCCTTTTACGAGGGAAGAAAAGAAATTCTGCTCTTGTAGAAGAAGATCCAGATTTGAAGGTCTTTTCCATGAGGATGCAGAAAAAAGGCATACGTGATGCTGAGATCTGTCCGGATTTGGCCAGAAAGCAAACAATGGGGATCCTTGTGGCATTCCAGGAGCAAGCTGGGAAAATGCTGTGGAGGTACAAAAGTATGTGCCACTGCATTCCAGAATGGGTACATGGGGAACTATGCTTGCAGCTAGTGTGGTGTATTTCCGTCTTATTAGAATTCATAGGACAGAGAATTATGTTTTTCTTTTTTTAAAAAAGCTCCTGAAATGAAGTGATGGGAGAAAAATATTTTTTCTCCTTTTGCCCTGCTGATGGGAACCTCACCAGCTTTCCCTACCTCTATCTTCACTCTGAAGGATTCCTCTGCACATTTTTAAACAGAAGCAACAAGATTTGTATTTTTTTTCCTCCTGCCTTGGTAATTTTCAAGGACAAAATCTGTCCTTCTGTTAAAGATTAAATCTTGAGTGCTAAGAGCACAGTTAAACAATGTTAAATTCTCCAAATACAAGTGAGGGCCCTGCAGTGGGAGAGCATTCCTTGCATTTTCCACCTTAGGCATTGCACTGCTTAAGAACGGGGCCTTGATTCAACAAACAGATTTTAACATCTCTACACAGAGGGAGGGAAGCCACGAAATGGTCTGAGATCGTTTTTTCAGCTGGAAACAGCCAGTGATAACAGGATAGATGGTGTTAAAAATGTTATCCAGGCGAGCAGATCAGGAAGATTAGACTTTATTTCTCAGCTGAAATATTAGTGACACAATACTTTTGACACCTGTCTTTTCTCCTTTATATATCTTGCAATCTATATTGGACTCCCTCAAATTACAAGTTGTTTTTGTAAGCATTTAGTACAGGAAGGGAAAGCACAGCCCATGGCTAACTGCAGTCACTGAAACTCCCCGGGTGGCTCCATACTACCAATCTCCTGCATTAACCAATACACTGTACTCGTATTTGACCCCAGAGCCCCTTCTTGCCCTCTTTGGTGGCAATTTTGTGGTGTCTTTTCTGATCTGTTTTAGGCCAAAGGTGTCCCCTCCCCCCAGCCAGAGGTGATTTCTGTCCATGTCCACTTTTTTTTGAGGGGAGACTCTCTCACTTAGGCCTGAAACAGCTCAGGAAGGCAAAAAGATAGTGACGTTGCTCCCATCCCTCTGCTAAGAGTTCAAGAGGTCCTTCTGAGATAAACAACAGCAACAACAGAGGTGTTGAAAGGGCACACAACAGGTGGAGCTAATGGCCCTTTGGATGTTGCCCAGTCCAATTTACTATAATGAGATGAAGTACTCAATGAATTGCCATGGATACCATGCAGCCCCCCCTGGGCCCAAATGCAACCCCTCCCCCAACTTTGGCACCCCCACACCTCCAATTTTTAAATCAGGTGGGGAATGCCTCAAAAAGTCTGGGTGTGTGTGACATTATCATTTTGGGAGATGCCTGGCACCCGTTTTTTAAAAAAGGTAATAAAATGGGGGGACACTAGAGAATGCTGAGGAGCTTGAACTGCAGCATACTCCATTTGCACTCTGTTAAAATTGCAGTCGTTGATGAATCTAGTTTCTTCAACAGTGGCCTACCTTCTCCCTGTCATCAGTTTCCACACACACTGTGGTTAGTCTGAAGAGACATTCTTGCCCCTGTGTAGGTTCTACATGTGAGCAAGAAACTTGGAAAATCTTGTTTATGTCGGAGCTTCTGCTCTTGGACTCCTATGTCATGGTGTGAAGAATTGGATGACAGAGAGGGCAGGACTAGGCATTCCCCTGTAAGGGTATCAAGTGAGTAATTTAGATTTGTTAACACCTGAACAGGACTTGTGTGTCAGTTTGCGCTCAGAAAATGTTTAAGGTCTTTCCTGAAAGTTAACGTGTTTAAAGTTCAGACACTTTAAAAAAGTTCTCCACTGCTCTTGAGAGATCACCTAGATAGTAACGCTCTCAGTGGCTACCAGTTGCCAGGACTGCAGGCTCACTTCAGAGTCTTTGGACATGCACTGCTATGAAACAATACCGGGGAGAGGTGTTGCCTTAATGTCCTTTTTGCATGTTTCTCATACGCAATTACTTGGCACTGTGGGGAACATGACCCTCGGATCAGTGGGCCTGTGGTCCCATCCAGCCAGGCTCTTCTGCCTAAAGATGAGAGAAATTGGTCCGCATTCTACAGCAAAGCTTGGAAAGCAGAGAGAGAGGGTACTGCTGCTTTTATGAAGGATGGATAGAATGAGCAATGGTGGGATGATGCTCTGGGGCTGCTCAGTGATAGGAGAGACTTCAACATTTCATTATATTCACTCTTAAAACTACTTTTCAAGCCTGACACACTATCTCTAGTTCCACCTTCCAAACACTCCTTTGAAAGTGTAAAGAGAGTCTGTACGTGTACAAACTGAGGCACAAGGACTCTTTGCATGCATTTGGAAATTCTGCTTTTATGGAGTTTCTGACCAAATTGAAGAAGTCTAAACTATGTACAACTTGCATGTACACAAATTTCAGTTTGTACTAAGTCAGGTGAATGTGTGAAGTTCAGCAGGAGAGATGGGGGATACATCCTTCCTCCCTCACCTTTAATTCACTGAATATAAGGGGTCCCTTCACACTGCAGTGCTTCTATTTTCATTATAGGATGTCTGCATTCTGTAAAAGACTTGGGGTGGGATGGGTTGGAGATTAAATTGCATATCTGACTTTGGGGGTGTGTGTGAGATACTCTGCCATTCCAAATCTGAGGTGTGTTTCATGTCAACCACATGTGGAAATACATAGAAAATATCTGCCGCAGATAAAACTAGTGTTTCTGTTTGCAGGGATATGCAGCTGTGGTACCAGCTGAGAACTGAAGAGCTAGAAAACATGCAAGCAGCCTACTTTGGTTTTAAAGGGAGAAATAACAACAATAATAAAACATCCGAGAATAAACTGGCACTTGGTGCCAGAAGCAAGATGGCATATGACAACCAAGGCTTCTGCAGGTAAGATAGCTGCAAGACTGTATTTATGTTGCTTTTCTTGCAATGCCATCTGTCTGTAAAGAAACATGTAATTTAAAAACGTGGGACGCTGGTGAGTGACTGAAAACTCTGCTCTTCACACAAACCTATTCCCCTTCTCGGAAATATAAGCTTTAAAAGTGCAGGTTCCATCCTGCTGGGTGGTAAAATCTCCCTGTCATTCCAATGATCACTAAATGTTCTGTTTTCAGTACAAAAAACATGTTGCAAAATGAAACCTTTTCATCATTTCCAGTGTTGTCCCTTCAGGCTTTGCCTACATATAGTGATTTGCTGGTTTAATTTAATATATACCGTCTCAGAATAGATATTTTTAAAAAATTTCATGCAGTGCTCCTACAGAAAGCACATCTAAACTCCAGCCCCAATTAGAACTATAGATGGGTCAATATATGGTAGGCAGGCTGTTCAGTGGGCAAGTCTCTTTAATTCTGTTCTTTCAGGAGTGGGAGAGGAATGTAGTGGTAAAAGTTGGCATAGCTGAAAGAAAAATCAGCTGCTTAATATTCTGGACTGCCGAGAGAGCCAATTGCCTGGAAAGTGCACTAGGAAGACCTTCATGCAAGGAAGAAGGAGGTGAGGGATGCCATTTCCTGGTCTGTCACTGGCAGCAAAATATCTGTAGCTGGTCCTTGGATCCATCGAGCCAAAAGTGCCAAACACAAGTTTATACAAATCTGACTTTATCTAGTAGTACTAAAGTAGTAATACTAGAAATTCTTGCATGACGATCTGTATGGCAGTTTTCCCAATGAATTTCGAAGCTGACCAAAAAAAATATCTGAATTTTCTTTTTTTACCAGGTGTGATTATCTGGAAGTTGAGTCATGGCTACTGGACTTCTTTCTTGTTAGGTTGAAACATTTTAATACTTATCCAAGCAGCTTCTTCAGTCTGAGGAGGGTTGGTAGGAGACCCCTGATATATCCTCCACATTGGTTTCACTTTCCCCTGGTCTGAATAAACTCCTGAAAAGGACAAAGGACTAGAGGTGAGTGATAATCCCACTTCTGCAGTCCTTCACCACCCCTTGTCATGGGGCATTAACGGTCATTAACAGTGGTCTTTCTGGTGTGTGTTGGTCCTAATCTTTCTGGGGACAGATGAAAGGGCAGCATGCAGGAACAAAGAAACTTCAGAGACAGATTCCAAATGGAGACTTCTGAGCAAGAGTAAATCAGAAGGTTGAATACTCTCTATCTAGGATAATGGCTTCATGTGTCAAGCAATTAAAAAAAGCTAACAGCTTTATATTCTGCCTAGAGACAGGACCACTTCATTCATCAAAAGAAGCATGCTTAGGCACGCACACAAAAGCTTATGAAAAATAAAAACTAGTTTTATATGTGCTAGGTTACTGTTTATGGCATAAATTTTTATTCAACAGACTACGACGGTCACCTGATAGCTTCTCATGCTATGTCTAAAGTATGGTAACCATTATTGTACAATAGAAGAATATATGAATTAGATAATTTTTTTCATTATCCCAAAATCACATGAGGCAATGCATTTTTTTCATTATCCCATTCTCACATGAGGCTGCTCACACAAGGTAACGAAGAGGAGCTGAAAGAAGAAGAAGAAGAAGCTGAAGAAGCCATGTAGTATGTTAAACAATGTACACATATTTTGGAAGCATTGAATGGAGAGTCATCTTGGGGCCCATTGTTTACAAGGTTATTGTCCTCCTGTTAACAATCTTTTCTTAGTTTCACTCCCTTGTCATGCTACTGAGAGCTTGGACCATTGTGCAAAAGAGCCGTGTGCTCTGGACCAGCCTTCCTTAATTATTTGCCCTCCAGATGGATCAGGCTGCAAGTCCCATAATCTCCCAGCCAGCAGAGCTGTGCTTCCGTTCACTAAGGGTGATCATTGCTATGTCCTGTCTTGACAAGAAGAAAGGTACCAACACTGAATGTTGAACTCTCTGCGTGACCACCCTCATGCTCCCTGATCAATGGATAGACCTGTTCCTTGCTCATTGTCAGGATGCTGCTGTTCTTTCCATTATTTTGTGAAGCCATATGATTCCATTTTCCTCCCTTGCAGACAAAGCAAATATTAACAAAAACAAGAAGATAATGCCTGGCAGTTCAAATCTACCAGTAATGAAATATATTTTCCCCAGGGCCAAGCCTAATGCGATCATGACTGGGAGTGATTTCTGTTCCTTCAATTAAAGCAGATAGAGAAAGTGTGCAGTTTGGATTTGATTTACAGTGCTGCAGGAAAGGGATTTATTAATTTTATTTACCACAGCTTTATTCCACTCTTCAGCAGAAAGATTCCCAGAGCAGATTACAAAGAATCAATAAAAGACACTCCCAGCTAACAAGTTACATTTTAAAAAGACACAAAACACAAGAAAGGGATGGGACAGAAGGGAGAGGAGAAAGTAAGCACTTGTAGAGCTGACGAGTGCTAGTTCGTTCTCCTCTATTCAGCACTGGTTAGGTCTCATTTTGAGTACTGTGTCCAGTTCTGGGCACTGCACTTCAAGAAGGATGCTGACAAATTGGAAGAAGTTCAAAACAAGGGCAACAAGGATGATCAGGGGGCTGGAAACCAAGCCCTATGAAGAAAGACTGAAAGAGCAGGCCATGTTTAGCCTTGAGAAAAGAAGATATGATAGCATTTTTCAAATACTTGAAAGGCTCTCGTACAAAAGACGGGTAAGACTTGTTCTTGATCAACTTAGAGTGCAGGGCACACAACAATGGGCTCAAGTTACATAAAGCCAGATTTCAGTTGTATTGAGCAGGGGATTGGCCTTGATGGCCTTATAGGCCCCTTCCAACCCCGTTATTCTATAATTCTATGATCATGGCCCTTTCTGCCATCTCATCTCTTTCTGCTGCAGCCTGCTGGAATGGCTGTTGGTGGTGACTGAACCATTTTGAATGTCCCGTTTCCTCAGGAGAAATACTGTAGCAGCCTTTTCAATTAACTTTCTATAAGCTGAAACCATAACGGACTGGAAAGAGCACCTGTATACAGAGACCCTGAGGTCCAGCCCCCAGGCGTCCTCATTTTAAAGGGCAAGGCAAGCAGGTGAAGTGATGACAAAAACTTCTACCTGTACGAGAAGGATAGGCAAAATGTGCCCACCTGCTTTCCTTCCCATTTGTATAATTTTTTTAAAAAATGGGGGAAAAGTCCCTGGCAATTTTTAAGAGAGCACTTGAATAGGTTTGCCCTGTTTTTGTTCCCTCCTGGAGCTAGGAACTTTAGATTTAACACCAGACATAACTACCAATCCAGTCACAACTAGTTTTCATTCAAAGGTCCCTTCCCAGGTCTAAAATAGTGTAACCCTTTGCAGACCCCCCCGTGGCCAGTAGAGGGCACAAGAGGGCTTTTTGACTGTTAAAAAACGGGATGCACAACAGTGGGTCCGTCTGGTCCTCTGAGGTTGGGATTGGGCAGGCTGCCCATGCACCTCTGGAAGTCAGCCAACTCCACTCTAAGACAGAGTTGTTGTCAGTTTGATGAAAGGGACCAAGATGGAGAAACAGCCTGGTTTGGTATAAAGCAGCTTCTTGTGCTGATGAAAAGTGGAGAATGTTAGTTTGGCTCATGAATGTAACCAGAGCTTCCAAATGCCACTGCTTTACAATATAATCCCCAGAATTTTGTAGTCCAACCCCTCTCCCCTTTTCAAGTGAAGGCATAACTCACTGGCAGAATCATCATCATCATCACACAGTATTATAAGCAATGGCAAATCTCACAAATATCACCATCAGAGCTACCAAAAAAAAAAAAAAACAACAAAA